CAGTATCAGATAAGCAACAAAATCTCACTAATTTACAGTTGAACTGGCTGTATGTAACCGTAAGTTCTATAACGGTTTCTCTTCTCGCACTTCTCGTTTGTGGAACTCATTTCCGTTTCCGGGCATTCCGGCCTACTTTAATCTTCAAAACTTTAAATGCAATATCAATCGCTATCTACTGTCCTCCTGATTACTCTTCTATTCTTCTCGATCCTTAGTAATGTTTGTCTTTTCTAGTTTTTCCACTCCCAGTGATCCCTTGTGTCTTAGTGGCTTTGCTGCCTTGCTTGAGATGGACAAAAAGCAACAACGTGAATACTGGTTTATAGGAAATGCTAGTTTGTTGAATTTGAATAAATTAATTAATCCTTATATCGAGTTAATCAGCATTTCCCTTGTTTCGGTGAATATTTCCCAAACCCTTTCATTAAAGGAATCAATAAAATATATTAATTTTTTATAGCTTTTTTACCTTTTCATTGAACAAGGCAGTATATTTTCTCCGGATTTTAGGAAGCACGTCATATTTCCAACATCAATATATATGCACATGCATATACACACAGTCAACATGAACAGTTATATATATATATATATCACTATTTGGTTAAAAGAAGGGTTTGTAATGTTTTCGATCCTGACCTGGCATCTCGACTTCAGACACTTTACCAGCACCGACCCGTTGCTTCCCTGTGTCTTTTCTATAAATATTTTAATGGCAATTGTTCTAAGGAGCTTTCCTCCTTGATACCTGTTGGAATTTTTGGGTACCCTGGTGTACTAGTGAGCCAGCCAAAATGAGCTGACTCATTTTATAGTTCACCAATAGAAGGGTTAACCAATCAGAAGGCTCAAAATATTCAATGCGACGTGTACAAAGGCGACCATGTTTTTCCTGAATATGCACTGTCAGCCTTTGATATCGAAGACTGAAGAATTACGGAACAGCTGCTGGTGGTATTGGCGATAGAATCATATTCAGTAGAGTGTCTGAATTGTGAGTGTTAATCTTTAACGTTGTTTCATTGAACAGATTACGTATTGCGCTCTATTCTATATTCATAGACTATGGTGAACATGGTCAACAATACCTCGATCGCATGGATTTAAGCGTACTACTAGATTGGCAATTAGGTCTCAAAGTTTAACTGTTGAAATAGTAAGATGTAACTGCAGTTTCTAGTCTAATAATTTCTTTTCTTGCGATTCTTATTTATGGCACTCTCTTCCAATATCTTCCTTTCCTGCCACCTTCACAAATTATAAAGCAACGTCAATCGCTATCTTCTGTCTTCTTGAAATCTGTTCTTTTTTATTGTCCTTACTCATCACTTTTCCTTTTTATTCTCTTTCACTTCCTTGCGTCTTAGTGGCATTATCACCTTACTTGGGAGTGAAATTATTTAAAAAAAAATTGTTGACTGTTGTTGATCCCGTACGAGGGGAGGCGATTTTAAATCTTATACTAGGGGGGTATAAACCAATTTAACCTATCTTATAAATTTTTATAAATCAAGTATTAAAAATAACCTGGTCTAGAATAATCCCGGATATACAGATTGGGCGCTATGATTGGTGGGGGTCTACTTTAGACTGGGGGTCTACTCTGGGATTTTACACGGGTTAACCATAGAGAGTGCACTTTGTAGATTTCACTGTTTCTTAGGTTGGTCTACCAAAAACCTGTATGTAACTTTGGGGTAGCACATCCTTTGCAGCTAAAGAAAGGATCGTGTTTTTTGTTTCCCAATGAGTCTATGATACCGATTGCCGATGTTTAATCAATGCGGCAGACGATTGAGGTAAGAATGAAATTACAAACTAAAACAACGTTATATTGCCTTAGCAAAACTAAAAAAAAAAAGAAAAGATATAATAAGAATGAAATCGAATTGAGCATAGAAATATGACCTCATTCGTACGTACGGTATGTATAAAGTTTTGTTTTGTTTTTTTGCGATATGTGATCTGCTGAAGACTAAGTGACCGGAGGGGAAACGAGATACGTCTTGTCCTAAATGCATCATGCGGTTAGAAGAAAGAGGTCTACATTTTTTTTATTAAACAATACAAGGCTCAAGAGATACTAGTCTGCAGTTGGAGATTCATCAAGAGCTGTGCTGGACAAACTCTCTGCATCCGGGCAGAGAGTATCTCTAGACGAGGCATTATACGAGTTCTACGGGGAATTTTTGGTCGAGCCTACGGGCTCGGATACCACTCATTAAATTCAGCCTTGTGCCACATCTGTCCGCGTGGGGCAGCTGGTAGATACCCTGAAGGCAGAGTTATAGAATGACTTTGTTGTATGAACCTCAGAGGCTCATGGCACAAAGAAAATCTTCGGGTTATCGAAAAAAAAAATCTTTATAACTTGATTCCACTTTATAAGTTAACTCTACCCTGTCTGATATACAGTTTCAATGGTATTTTATAACAGTTTTAACCGCAACTGGTACTGTAAACGTCGGTATACGAAAAGAACCCGAGTTGAACAACTACACATAAATAGGTAAAAGGATCTGATCTATATTTCTGAGGTGAGGTACTGAAATGAAGAGAAACATTGAAATCATCCGATTATTTTCAATAATCAGAACTGAACTCAATCTAATATTTCATCTCATTCTGAATTTTAAACACAAAGGGAATGATTACGTTTGCTAAATGCAAACCCTTTTCCCGTCGTAGACGTGTATATACGTTTTTTTGTTTTTTTTGGACAGAGGCGAATAAGTTATGTCCCATGCGTGATACACGCTTAGGCGATCATGTATCTTTCGATAAATGACTAACGAGACATTTTTTTCACGCAGTAGGTAGCCATTTCTTTCTGCGGTAGACCAGTCGCCATCCAAGGCTATAGAAATCGGTCTCATAGCTGGATGGGGAAGAGGAGGATTTATACCTTTCCCAAGGGTATTAGCACGTAAGTGAATGTAATGGATTCGAGCCGCTATCCATTACTCCACCGTGCCTCCTGACGAATAAACACGTCCAAAACATAAAGTTCAGAAACCAGCTACAGACGTGTTTATACGTCGATTCATATATATATATATATATATATATATATATATATATATATATATATATATATATATTGTATATTTTGAGCTTGAAACGAGTCCATTTGTCAAGTTATACGTTTGATAGAGGTGTTAGACACCGCTTGGGTGCTTCAAGGTGCCTCAGTTTCTTAGTTAATATTTTAAAAACAAATAAAAAAATTTGTCTGAAAATGAAACGTTTTCCTCAAATTAATTGGCGGGGAAGAGGTTAATATATCTTCGGAAGTCAGTGACAGAAAAAACAGCGAGACCAGCCGCAAAAAAAAAAAAAAAAAAAAATCGAAATTAATGAGTTGTTTCATAAAAAATAAACTGGAAAAAGCCTTGATCAAAATGTCTAAAAATGTTAATTGATGTTATAAATGTTAAATTTCTTTTGGAAAAAATCACTTTTTTCTTCCTTCTTTTCTGATAATTTAGCTATTCAATTATCCGGATTTTTTTTTTGGGGGGGAGGCCGTGGGCACATCTCCACACCTTGAACCATGTGTCATCTAAGCTACGCTTAGAAAATCATTTGGGGACCCCGACGTGTTGTAATGGTTAGCAAGCTTGTTTCGCTAGCTCAATTACGACTGAGTAGTGAGTTCAATCCTTGCTGGATGTTCCATACCTTCGACTTTGTGACATATCTAAGCTATATTTGGGCGCCCCGACCTGGTGTAGTGGTTAGCAAGCTTCTTTCATTAGCCCATGTTACGACTGAGTAGTCAGTTCGATCCTCGCTGGATGCCCCACACTCTCAGTTCTGTGCTAGATGTAAGCTGCACTTAAAATATCATTTGAACACCGAGACATGGCATTACGTTTGCCAAGTGTGTCTCGCTAGGTTTATTACGACTGAGTAGTGAGTTCGATCCTCACTGTGTGCTTCATAGTTTGGGACATTTTTTTACATCAAAACTAGGTTTGGCTATCCGGGATTTTGATTTGTCCGAAGATATTTTTTCAGGGTCTGCCTAATTGAGGAATTACTATAATATATTCAAGTGATTCTCAACCACCATGCGATCCTCTTAAGCGTGTCATAAAATATTGTCAATGCATACATATATATGTGTGTGAAATGATAGGGTGCTCCTCCAAACAAAACCCGCAAAAACAGGAAATTTGGTAGAATTTAGTGTTGGAATCTTTGTTATAGTTATTTGAAACAAAAGCCAGGGATAGAAATTTAGTAGCTTAAAACAGAACAAAAACAAAAATGTCGGATGTGGTCTTCAAACTAAAGAACGCTGGCAAAATTTCTTGGCATTTATCAATGTTGGATGTTCTTTCTGAAAAAGAACAATCAACTTGCGTCGGAAATTTGCTAAGTACAACATCCTGGAACAACAAATGCTTAAAAATATTATATGTAAGTTATTTTTTTAGTTCATTCATATAGTAAAATATACAGTTATCTTTTTTATATGTTAGTTAATTTTTTTTCATCATATAGTAAATCTAAAATTTCCTGTTTTTTGTAGGTCACCCTGTAGAGTGTTAGTACAGTGTAACCCGGATATAAGAGAGTTGTCGGGACCGGAGATGTCTCTTATATTCGGGTTTCTTTTATATCCGGGTTTGGTCTATTTTATATACATTAACACAGGCTCTAATTTGGGACCAGATAAAATTTCTCTTATATCCGGGTTTCTCTTATATCCGGGTTACACTGTATTAAACTTTTTTTCAAATAATTCTGTTCGATTATGTTTTTTAAATAATTTGTTTTAATATTGTATGTATTTTTTAAATCTATTTTTTTTCCATAACACTTAAATGTATACCCATTAAAAATTTTGCTAATTTTCATTGGCTGCTAGGTGGGCCGTTGCTTAAAAAGGTTGAGAAACATTGCTCTAGGACACAGGAAAAATGGCGGAAACCGTCAAATTTGGTCGTTACATGTATCTAGAACAGGGTTATGCTTGTGTATTGTTATGGTTAAAAAGAGGACAAAAAAGAAAAAAATGAAAGAAGACAAGGAAGGAAAAAAATGAATAACGAAGAAGAAAAAAGTGAAAGAAGACGAAGAATAAAAAATGAAAGAAGATAAAGAAGAAAAAATGAAAGATGACAAAGAAGTAAAAAAATATGAACAAAGACAAACGAGAAAAAAATGAAAAAAGAAAAAATTAATGAAAACAAAGAAGAAAAAATAAAAAAAATGAAAGGCGACAAAAAAAATAATGAAAGAAGACAAAAAAGAAAAAAATGAGTAAAGGCAATGAAGAAAAAATGAGGACGACAAAGAAGAAAAATAGTGAAAAAAGACAAAGAAGAATAAATGAAAAAGACAAAGACGAAAAAATATAAAAAAAGACAAAGAAAAAATGAAAGAAGAAAAAGAAAAAAATGAAAGAAGACAAAGGAGATACAAAATAAGAGAATACTTCGAAGAAAAAATGAAAGGAGACAAAGAAGAAAAAATGAAAGAAGATAAAGAAAAAAATAATGAAAGAAGACATACGAGATAAAAAAAAAAATGAAAGAATAGTTCGAAGAAAAACTAAAAGAAGACAAAGAAGAAGCGAAATGAGACAAAGAAGAAAATAATGAAAGAAGAAAAAAATGAAAGAAAAGAAAGAAGAAAAATAATGAAAGAAGACAAAAGAGATAAAAAAAATGAAGGAATACCTCGAAGAAAAAAATGAAAGACGAAAAAGAAGAAAAAGGGAAAGGAGACAAAGAATAAAAAAAAATGAAAGATTACCTCGAAGAAAAAATAAAAGAAGACAAAGAAGAAAAATAGTAAAAAGGAGAAAGCAGAAAAATATTTAAAAAGACAATGAAATAATGAAAGAAAATAAAGAGGAAAAAGTTAAAGGAGACGAAGAAATTAAAGAAGGAAGAAAAAAAGAAAACTAACAGAAAACAAAGAAGAAAAAAAATGAAAGAAACAAAAAATGCATTCTCTTTCGGGGCAGCTGCTCTTGTTTGTATCATTCTTATATTCGGCCTCACTTCACTGTCGGCAGGAGACGATGTTTGGTCAGAGAATCTTGCTCGACCTGATCATTCGACTGAAGCGGGGGAAAACAAAGAAAGTGGTATTTTCCTGTCGGCCATTGTTAAGTAAAGGAATATTTGTTACGGCTCGTCGACTGCCCAACAGCGGCAATCTCTCTCCGCGAACTGGTCAGGATGCTTACATCCATTCTTCAATAAGGTGAGTGCGTACGGTACAAATGAAAGGCCCTCTCAATACCCACTCCACTCCAAATATTGATTTGGCCGGGGCTTTCGTCGTATCAAGACCAAGAGGAAAAATGATTCTTCGATCGCCTTACTGTAACAGATGGGAAGAGAATGAAAGAAGAAAAAAATGATATTGTAAATAAGACAGGCATGACCTTCTTCAGATGAAATATCTGGAAAAAATATTTGCTTGACTTGTAATTATTTCGTAATACATTTGTTGGAGTTAAAGACATAGAAGGGGAAACCGCATTGAATGAAGCATATGCCTCAAAACTGGCTTCATTCTCAGCGTTAACTCGGATGCCCATCGCAAAACTAACTACAGGGTGGCCAGTAAAAAAGCGGAAAATTTATTCTTCGAGAAAATACACCAGTTCTAATTGGTCCATTGCAGTGGTCCTTTAAAAGCACAGATCTGAATGTTATGGGTTACTGTATATGGAGTATACTCCTAACTCATTTGCAAAATTGTCGTGGAGACATCGTCGATATTGATTCATGGAAGTGGAACTTAACTGAAGCCTTGGAATGAAATTCCTCTTGACAATATCCGTAAAGCTATTGACTTCTGGTTACCACGTTTACAACTGTGTTGAACATTCAGGCAGAATTTCAAACATCTACGATGATCGTTCAGTTTCGGTATAATCAGTCAGTCAGTTATATGCCATGCGTGATACACACTTAGGCGATCATGTATCTTTCGATACATGACTGACGGCAGATTTTTTTTCCCGCAGTAGGTTGCCATTTCTTTCTGCGGTAGACCAGTTGACATCCAAGGCTATAGAACCCGGTCTGTCCTGCTATTTACTCATAGCTGAGGTGGGGAGAAGAGGATTCATACCTTTCCCAAGGGTATTAGCACGTAAATGAATGTAATGGATTATAGTAGTATGATGAAAATTAAAATAAAATCCCATTAGGGGTCAGTACAAATAGCTTGTTTCCATTCCCAATTATTGAACAACCAACATAGAGCTGTCCATGAGAAAAGCAGGGTTCCATCAAATGAAGTCCAGTTCTGTTCAGTCAGTTATATGCCATGCGTGATACACGCTTGGGAGATCGTGTATCTTTCGATACATGACTGAACAGGCAGAATCTTTCCCGCAGTAGGTTGCCATTTCTTTCTGCTATTTACCCATAGCTTGGGGGGGGGAAGAAGAGGATTCATACCTTTCTGAAGAGTATTGGTAACTAAGTGAATGTAATGGATTCGACTGGAATGCGAAAACGACCGCACACAAAAGCACGATGTGGAAGAATTTTGAACGATAATTAAAAATTGGTTGTTGGTCTAGACCACGCCTGGCCCTTGAGAGGTGGGTTTGGTCAGGAGACCAAGGAGGAGAGGACCCAAGTGTAATTTCAGGAAAGGCGGGGGACTTTCCTTTCCACACCCCTCGGGTAGTGATGGTGAGAAACACCCACAAAAAACAAGGGGAAGGGCTGAGGTAGAATTCCAAGGAGGGAGGAGAGGCTCCCCCATATTTGGACATTTGCAAGGAGAGCCCTGATTGGTTGTTTGGGGGAGCGCTGGCTTACACAGAGCACATTATGCCCCACCCCAGCCCTTGCGCATGGGTCCATAAAAACAATGCCTAGATGCAGAGACAGAGACGGTGAAGATACCGCGGACAGACTACTACAGAGACTGCAGAGAGAGCAGAGAACCACCGCTTCGCCTCATCTCATGTGATTTGCCGCCCTGAAGAAAAACCCCCGACATAAATCCTTGTTCCAGAAGTCTCTTTCAAAAGCATAACAACAAACAGTGTGTCACGATGGTCGGGAAGGGCTGATAGTTATTGCATGGGTTTGCTTAAGCCATCAATAACTGTACCATCAATATTGTATTGAGGAATTACATATAAATATTTCTTTTATCGAACTTATTTTTTTTTTCTTTTCGTGTGACCGGACCAAACCAAGTCATCAATTTCAGTCAACCATTCGGGCCAAGTGAGTCTTACGATCAATTAATCACAACATGGGGCGAGACAAGATTTGGTCCGAAGCGATCAACTCCACGATCAGCCGAGGGAATCGAGCTTGAATACGGAGCGGCCGGGGTAGACGTCAAACGGCACTCAGAGTGTTCTGAGCACCCTCACGGTCGGTAAAGGAGATGCTCGGACAAACAAACTCAATTTAGCGTGTCTTACGAGACTTTTTAAAGAGCGTGTCTTACTTAACAATCCTTGCAATCGACTGTGATTTGGCACAAGAATTACACTTCCGGGAACTCATCGCGAATTTTGCGCCAATGAAAGCTCGAAAAATACACTTTTAAGCTGCTTTGGAACTGGTATAATCCTGATTCGTAATTTTGCTCTCTACTTTTTGTAAAGAAGACCCCCCCCCCAACCCTACATTTGTGCTGGCTGAACCGTCCCTCGCCGCTACTGCCAACAGTACTCATTTATAGTAACCAAAAATACATTTTTAAAGCAAAATATATATTATTATATTATAATTATAGCAAAATGACCAACAATACATTTTTATAGTAAAATGACCAACAATAGATTTTTGTAGTAAAATGATCAAAATACATATTTAATAAAATGACCAACAATACATATTTATAGTAAAATGACCAACAATAGATTTTTTGACCAACAATAAATATTTATAAAATGACCAACAATACATATTTATTATAGTAAAACATTTGACCAAAAATAAATATTTTTATAGACCAACAATACAAAATAAAATAACCAACAATACATATTTATAGTAAAATGACCAACAATACATTTTATAATAAAATAACCAACAATACATATTTATAGTAAAATGACCAACAATACATAATTACAGTAAGATTAACAACAATACATTTTATAGTAAAATGACCAACAATACATTTTTATAGCAAAATGACAACAATACATAGTAAAATTTTACAGTAAATGACATATTTATAGTAAAATGACCAATAATACATTTTATAGTAAAATGACCAACAATACATTCAACAATACATATTTATATGATAGTAAAATGACCAACAATAAATATTTATAGTAAAATAGTAAAATGACCAACAATACATTTTATAGTAAAATGAAACAATAAATATTTATAGTAAAATGACCAACAATACATTTTTATAGCATTTTATAGTAAAAAATGACAACAGTAAAATACATTTTTATAGTAGCAAAATGACCAACAATACATTTTATAGTAAAATGACCAACAATACATTTTTATCAAAATGCAATACATTTTATAGTTTACATTTATAGTAAAATGACCAACAATACATTTTTATTATAAGGCATTTATTTTAAATATATTTCGTTGAAGCCATAAAATTGTGTTCAAAATATTTAAATAACCCAGAGAGGTTGATATCAAATAATCAACCAACCAATCAACCCTTCTTACCTTATTCTGCTCTGGAAATTTCAACTTTTCCTTCTGATACAACGTATCTTCTTTTTCTGTCTGTCGTGTCACTTCAGAACGTGGACGATCATGACTCTTCACGACTTCCTGTCCGTTTAATAAATGTCGTCTCTTCGATACTAGTCGGAATAGTAAGGCATATAAAAATGATGATTACTCATCTTGAACTTTTCCAAGATAAATCTTCTCTTGTGTTCTCAAGTTTTACGCTTTTTCCCCAAGGCTTTCTTCATCACTCGAGTATTGTCACTACGATTGGAAGTGATGTTGTTAGAAATGATACACTAATTAATTTACTCGGCTTGACGTAATAGTGGCGGAAGTAATTACATCGAGAAATAATTAGAAAAAACGGCTATCGTTGAACTTGATTACTTATTAAAGACAATGAGTATTAAAATATTATATTACCATCGTGTTCTGGCTTCACTTAATAATCCTATTACATTCCATGTTAAAAGGAATCATTTTTGATCATTGCCCTCCACAACTTCCTGCTTATTTTTATTTTCTTTTTTTTTTTTGCTCGAAGGAACTTTTGTCATTTTTACCACTTCTCTATTGGTTTCGTTTTGAATTGTTTTTTTTTCTGTATTTTGAAAAATTATCAGTCTTTGCCGAATAGTAAAAGGATAAAATATTTTTTTTAGATTTTAAGAATCTAAGATAAGAATTAAGATAATAATGACATAATGATCCTGTTGCATAGCCCCCACTTGTTCTGGGGGTATTACGGTAACGATCTTGAGTCACTCATATGTTGCATTCTTCCCTCACAGCCGGAGAACGTTACTTATTTTGTTCGGAGTTAAAAGAGAACTGCAACAAATAAATTTTAAACCTATATATTTTTATTCACCAGGTCGATGTATACATTTCTAACAAGCCAGTAGGGTCTCTCGCTCACCTCACTGGGTAGAAAATTATATTAATATGTAATGTAAATGTAGTAGGAAAAGTGTCCTATATTCGGTTGGTTACTAGCAATTTTTATTGTAAAACATTGACTTGGGTCAGTCAGTTAAGTGTCATACGCTTGAGCAATCACGTCTCTTTCGATTCATGACTGACTAGGCAGAAGACTTTCCTGCCGTAGACTAATTACCAACTAAGGCTATAGAGCCCAGTCTCTCATGGTATTTCAACATATAGCTGGAGCAAGATAAAAGGAAATAGTATCTGTCTATATTTATGAGATGAGGTATTATGTACACTATTTACATTATTCGGACTATTGTCCTCATCTTTGTCGCCATATTTTTATGGGTTGTGGATAAAGGCGTTGCTTAGATCCAGTGACAGGACCCAAAGAGTGTGAATTC